GGGTGGGGGTGCGGCGGGCTCTGTTTCGACAGGCGCGATGGGCTCTGGTTCTATCTGGGGAGGTGCGGCCGGTGGTGTGGGCTCGGGCTCAGCAGCGGTGATGGTACCGCTGAGGGCCTTCTCTGGCTTGGTGACATCGGGCAGGCGGTACTTCTGCATGTCAAGCTCGATCTCGGCCTCGGATTCGGACGGGAGGACTTTGTCGCTGGTGGAGACGACGCTGCTGTGGTCGCTGTCGAAGTCGGGCTCCATGACCAGCGTCGGGACGCTCTCGCCCGTTGACTGGGGCACGAGCGGCGTTTGTGCTGCAGCACCCACCAGTGGTGGACCCTGACCAGCTTGCTTTCCACTCCAGGCGGTGCCGCGGCGCTCAATCTCGAGGCTGCGGGCTTTGCGGAACTCGTCCAGACGGCGCAGGCGGTCTTCTTCGATGCGGCCGACGTCAACAGCACTCTTGTTGTTGTTGTCGTTGATCTGGTTGAGAAATTTCATGCGTGCCAGGAGGCCTGGGGATACATTTCTCGCAAGCTTGGTAGTACTTTCAATGTGGGCAGGAATGTGCCTAAGCGGTTTGGGTGAGGAGGGTGATGACGAGGTGGTCGTCGGTGGTGGGTTCGGCGGTGTCTTCGCTGGCAAGTCAACGGCAGTCGCGGCGGGGCTGCTGTCGAGAACTGAAGGCGGCGTGGCCGTGTCGCTCATTGAGCATGTCTGTGTGGACCTCGAGGAAACCTCCAGGTCGCGTAGAGACAAAAGAGGAGGCTGCGCAAGACTGGATACGCTGCATGCACGGATACCAGATCAATCGGGAGATGAATCGACGTTCTTTGGGATGGCGCCGAAATCGCGTTAGCCTAGTTCGTTCACGCGTTGCTTCTGTTTACCACAATAACGGTGTGGCGCAACAACAAAGAGTCGGTCTCTAGAGCATGTGCAGTGGGATGTGTCCTGTAGATGGTCTTGGAGGAGACGTTCCCACACCTCTCAAGACACCCGTTCACAAAACGTCCCGCTTGTGTCTCACCGGGTACCGCTGTACCCAATTTCCGCCAGCTCCCCCCTGCTATCAGTGCTTCCATTCCCACTCTCATCTCCATTCATTGGCACTCAAGCTGCGACGCCACCGTCTGTGCCATCCTTTCTAGAAGCGCTCGGTCGATCTTATCATTTGTGTTATACATGTTCACTATCAATGCTATGCACGACATGCGGGACCTGCCCTTCTGGTCGCTCTCGTCTCCTCATGTTCCAAGGGCAGGGACATTGACGGGGCCATGGGTGTCTGGTGGCTCTTGTTATAATATATATGTAGACATTATTTACATTCGACTTGTCTGTATCTAACACTATAGGACTGCAAGTCGTTCATGCAAAAGGGGTATCTATCTCAAGTCGCCACCTGTCGGCGCACTCTGAGCGGAATGGTAAAAGAGCCCTGTTTCCAACCAGGGAATACTCTTCAAGAAATTCTGTGGTGTGGAGTTGAGATTCGGGGGGCATAAGCTTCGTGCAAATTAGATAAAGGTGATGTGTCAAAACATGGACATGAAATGAAATAGGTCGAGATCCATAGTTGTTTGCCGCAATGGCCACTTCACAGCGCCTCGTAGTTCGGGTCGATCTGTAGTGTAGGGGTTCTCGTTTGGTTCTTCTGCTTTTGCCATTCGGACGTGATTTCCTCACGAACGCCCTGGCTCCATTGCAGAATGGCAGCGTCGAACTTCTTCCACGCTTCTGCGTCTTCGCCGTGGACCACGCCCATGACATCAACGTCGAGCTTGATGTCCCAGCGCAGTTCCGCGGCTTTGACCCAGTAGCGCAGGTTGTCGGCGCAGCGGTATGGCTTGGCCGTATCGGTGTGGTACGTCTTGATCTCTTCAAAGTGTCGTTTTGACCTTCGGACGAGAGTGTTGTGGAGATGGACTAGTCGCAGGCCGTTTTGTAGTTCAGCAAGGAAGGGCGTTGGGAGCTTAGCGTCGGCAGCGCTGGTCCACTCGGGAAGCGCGTCGAGACTGGTGTCGAACGACTTGAGGAAGAGGAGTTCCCTCTCACGTTCTTTGCCCGTCCAGTCACCCTCGCGCCACGACCAGTTCTCTCTCTCTTCTTGTTCCACGCGCTCCTTCTCCTCTTCGGTATCAAGCAGTGTGCTAATGTCGACCACCCATTGCCTTAGTTGGGTGACTTCGTAGGGCTGCACACCGTTTCCAAAGTTGCGAATAGCGAGGCGCTTCAGAACCTCGAGAGTATCGTATAGTTCCTTTCGAATTGTCCGTTCTGGTTTGATGGCATATAGTCGTTGTGGTTCTTCGTGTGCGGTGTAGTAGTTCTTCGCGGCGCGGATCGCTAGGGTGGTGACATCCAACAGATTGATGCCTTGAACCTCGTGCCAGCCCGAAGCTTCTTCCCCGCCATTCTTCGCCGTCTTTCCGTCTGGCTGGACATCAGAAAAGCCCTTCTCCAGCTCGTCGAGATGCTTCGTAGACTCAGCAAGCGACTCGCGAAGTTCGCGGCGAAGGACGGTCATGTCAGGTGGCGGTGGGACGTAGACGGGGTTGTTCTTGTAGGTGCTGACGGTGGGTGGGAGCATCATGGGCTCGGGGTCTTCCCATGCCATCGAGGCCGTCTCGTCGAGCGGCGACTCAACAAAGCCCTCTCCAAAATTATGTTCAGACATGCCGTCTGGGGATGCAAGGGACAGCGACGAGAAGTCGGCATCGAGGCCAGGCGAGAGTGGTTCGTTGCCGCTCGCTGTCCGCGAGCCAGGCTTGCGGCCTTTGGCGACGCGTCCAGTGGCCGTGTCGAGCAGGCCGGTCCTCGCAAAGTAGTACTGCAGATGTGCGATGGTGCCCAGGTTCATGACGCTCTCTCTGTTCTTGGCCGACGTGGAGAACTCTGTGCCCTCCGGCCGCATGTATCCACGTCGAGTGCCGCCAGCGGACAGACGCGAGCTCACTGAGCGCGCCGACGAGACGGACGAGGCTGTTGAGACGGAACGGTCCAGGGGCGGAATTGCGCCGATGGCCAGAGATGGGGTCGCCCATGGGTCGGGCGAGGTTGAGCGTGCGGGTGGGGAGTTGGGCGTGTCCATGGTGGTTGACAGGGGTGGTAGGTGCAAAGCCGTCGCAGTCGTTAGACTCCTTATCAGCAGTGAGATTCGGTGTTTTCGAATCCTAGGCATTTACGGAGCGGTGGTGGGTTATCAAGCACTTGTCTTGTTTGTGGAGCCACCTGGGCAATGTGCGGTTGTTGCTATGTGAGTCGGAGTTTCGAAAGGGGCGTTTGATTACAGACGCGAGATTGTATCCGAAACGCGTGACTAGCGCCCTGAGCTTCCCTCACCGACGCAATTTCCGTATAGCCGTGAACGCATAGTCGTTGCGACCATCGTCCAAAGTGCTTATGTGTCCAAAAGGAAATTCTCCTTTGCGGCTCTCGATGCCTCCCGGCCAACTAAGCGCTTGCTTCTGGCCCCGCACCCCAGGTGGAAGCCTCGCCAGGGTGCCTTCCCGAAGTAGCGTGTACTTTTCGCAACTGCGATGACGTCGCACGCCTGCAGGAGCATGAACTCGTTATATGACGCCCAGGCATTTGCATGAACTTGGTCTAACCAGACACAACCTCACGTAACACTCTCACCTATATGAGGCGCTTCTTTACAACCACTGCCAGAATGTCCACCAAGCGAGTGCGTTGTCCGCCCAACCTGCTAGTGGCAAAACTGATCTAGGCACAGATTCAGTACAAGGTCGAAGGCCAGGTACAGGGCGTCAACTTCCGCTCCTTCACGCAAAAGCAAGCCCAGAGTATCGGTGTCACCGGCTTCGTCACCAATGCATCGGATGGAAGTGTGCGTACTCGCATCGTACTTGACCCGATGGCTGCTCACACAGAACAGGTCCAGGGCGAGGCTCAGGGCAGTGACGACAAAATCAGCGAGTTCATCCAGCATCTAAACAAAGGACCATCGGCAGCATCAGTCTCAAAAGTTGACCATTCGGAGATCTCCAGTAGGGATGGCGAGAGTAGCTTCAACGTCCAATAGCCTGTACACATCCCCCCAAAAGGGTCGGAGTGGGCGTAAGTGTGGCGACATCGATGTGAGCGTAAATATTTGTCACTTCATCTCTATGCGTAGCCATAGCCCAGAAAGATAGTATGATGAGGCACGACATGTAAAGGGGTACATGATACACACGCACTGGGCAGTATTAAATACAAACTTGGTCTTGAACTCCCATGCTATTCAAACATCAAGCCCAAGCTCTAGCAGAACAATACACGTCGTACACTGACGATGGTACTTGCTCAAAACGCCTCCAAATGACTTGTCGTGAAGACCCTTGGACGTCCCTTGCCGATGGAACGGCAGACCGTGCGGGCTTTCTCAATCTGTCGTTGGTGTGATGCTAGCAATTTTTCATCCTAGGTGAAGCAAGAGCCCGTCACTAGTTTGACGATGAAGCCTAGACGCCTTCAGGGTTTGGTAAAAGTCGTGATCGAAGATTGGAAACACAATGACTCTTCTTGCATGGTACTATTTCACCCTCGTTGGAACCGCAACCACAAAGCAGTGGCTTGTCCTGGGCTGACCGTGGATCTGAACACGAAAATCAGCCTGAAGGTACATACGAAAGAATTCCATCATGTTGCAGGCTTTCCGATGTTGCGCTATCAGCCCTACAGTATCAGAGTGGGTCTGACGGCGAACAACGAAACGACGAGACCCCGAGTTCTGTGAGACTCCGACGAGCATCTCCCGGAACCGACGGTCACATGTCCCAACCACATAACATTGCCTTTTCATACCGCTACCAACAAAACATACAGAGTCTCCGCATGATGTGTCTAATGGATGCGCACTTCTTTTTTCTGTGTTGCGAAAGCCTTCTTTGAGCTTCTGACAGGGGTAGGTTGAATGTCTTGGCAGAGCTTTCCCGATTCCTCCCGTCAGCTGAATCACCACCTCGCTCAGCCGTCGCAAACTCGTCTTTGCACGCGACCGTATACGCCCGCTCTCGACGACTTGCTGACATGCTCGGCCTCTCATAGGAAGCCTAATCGCTCGCCGAGCCTGCCGGATGACGGATATGGTGCCGTGTAGCGGCGGCATCTCTGTACATTCCTATTCCACCCTGATGACTGAGCGCGCCGGACAGGCACGAGTACCGCGTGGATGTCTTTTTTTAGTTGTCAGCGTCATGTCTTGTTTGATATAAAGGACGAAGTGTGCCTCAGTCTTGCTTCATGCTAACCATCAGCACTTACCATTATAGTTGACAACACCCTTTACACCAAACACCACCCTAAGATAAACACGCGCCTTTATAGCCGCAGATGATCTCCACCAGAGCAGCGACACGGGGATCAACAACCTCAAAGCGGGCTACAGCTCAGCTCATCAAATCCTTCAAGAGCTACAATGCCGGCTATCGACCCACCTTCGTCGCGGTACATCACTTCCAATCGCAAGTTGGCCAGAGGCACTTTACTTCTTCACCCAACGGTGGAGCAAAGATCAAAGAATTCTTCGAGAAGCACCCGACAGAGAAGGTTCGCAAGACACATGCAGCATGGCCTCACCCAGGTACGTACCCGCCGAAAATGTAGTACCTATATGTCTAGCTAATACCAGTCAGTATACACCGAAGAGCAGATGAGTCAAGTCATAATTGCCCACCGCGAAGCGAAGACCATGTCTGACA